ATATATGTTTACATACTGAAACTTAAAGCTTATGGCTTGAAAATACTTTAATTGTACTTTTATGGTGGTTTTGAATTATTTTTAATGTTTGAACTCTCCAGTCCCCATTTATTAAAAATGCATGGAAAAGAGTGACTAGTATAGCCTATAATAAAGGGCATTAAAATATACATAAGAATTTAGAGATTTTAAAGGAACATGCATCATTGCAAGACACCTGAAATCTTGTAACTGCTCCAGTACTTCACCGACCGTGAGAGCCGAACATGTTTGTGCAAGGAGAAGGGCGTGGAGAATTAGATGATGTCCCGTACTGCTTTTCATCACCTAAACTTCCCCTCAGAACAAAGCTGACACACCTTCACTCCTCGGGCTGTTGGTGACATTCACACAACAAACAGGCTCTAAGGAATCACAATGACGTTTGTATCTGACACACAAGAAGTGAATAGAATTTAAGTTTGGTGATGATTTACCCACAAGCACAAATTCTTCCCTAAGCACAAGTGAATTCTGCTAATCCATTGGCTGAATATCAGTCACTGCTGACTGGCCGACTGCCACACTACAGTGATACGATTACAGAAGCCATGAGCATGTTTAGACACGCACACATAATAACGAGTCAAGGTGTGAGATGCTCCACCTGTATGCTGTTCTCCAGTGTCTCACACATTGTCAGTCAGATCATAGGTCTATTATTCTCCAACCCTCTCACAAACACTCACATTCTCAAATACACATACGTAACTGCTTTCACAACTTCAGTACAAAGTTATTCCTGATCAAGAAACATTATGATATACTTTATGAAATAAGATGCTATATATGTTTTTTTGAGACCAAAAATCAGCATATCAGAATGATTTCTGAAGACCCCAAATGAAGTCTATAGACCCAAAAGTCTTGCTTTTGTTCATATATTAAATATGTCTGTACTCTTGACTAAAGTCTACGGCTTGTGCTCTATATATTTCCAACATGAGACTTATGACTGATAACAAATCTAATTGTGTTTTCACAGACAAGTAAGCTGAAGCTTCCCGTCGGATGGTTTTAATCAGAATTCTCAAACGGAAAGAAAAGAAGCTACTATAAGAAAACGTCATACACAATAGAGCAGGTAAG